TATCTGGGGTGAGGCTGAGGGTGAGGTAGAAGAGCTACAGAGTTTTGCAAAGCCGCTTTAAAGTTCCTGCTTGAGATAGCGCAGTAAGGCTAACAGCATTATCAGCTATCTAAATATATGGTATCTCAAGAATGCATTGTGTTCGGGGAAATTCCAGAGGTGTAGTTCAGTAGACCGCACTATAAGATAACCTTAGGGGGATTGTGGTAAAGACTATAGTAACTGGAAAATGTTTCACTTTGAGCTAAGGCTCAAAATGGTCCTGGTGATATTTTATCAACCAACCAACAAATCTCTATTGACTTGAATCAGTTGTGAAATGAGCTTTCTTAAAGGTTTATGAAAAAATGCATTATTTTACTATGGTAGCAACAGTTTGGCCCTCATTTTACTCTTACTCTGTTCAGTTGGGAAATTAAAATGTTCAGCTTTTAAACTTGGCTTTTACAAAAGCAAAGTTTACTTTGCTCTTCCTGCCTCAAATTCCAACTGAACTCAAACGAGAACTCCTTTAAAGAGAACTGCAGAAGGAGGAGATGGAGAGGAATCTGGTCTAATGATTAACCATCATCTTTGGAAGGAGAGGGGAAATAAGCTACCTACAGACCTACGATTTGAGAGGCTACTGAAGCCAGAGAAACAGACTTCTCTTGAAATGGCGCTGGGTAAAATGCCTGTTTGTGGATCATTCTCTCATTGATCCGCTTGCGGTTTAACTACTGGGAAAAATCAATGGGAAGGAGGCAAGGTCACCCAGCGTCAGGTTATCTGCATAAGAGCAGAGGGCTGGCCACAAACGGGCGCTGGGCTTTGGCTCTGCTTCATAACCAGCAACCTGGCTGACGCTGGACACCTCAATCCTCTATCTGGGCTAACATAGCTACAAAATAGGTGTGGGAAGAGAGTCAGGCACAGTCTATGCAAGACACGGAACCTCAAGTTCAATGTTGTCACGTTGCCTCCTGGGGCCAACTCTTTTTTTTTTTTTTTTTTTGAACTCTTTTTTTATGCGGTACGAGGGCCTCTCACTGTTGTGGCCTCTCCCGTTGTGGAGCACGGGCTCCGGACGCGCAGGCTCAGCGGCCATGGCTCACGGGCCCAGCCGCTCCGCGGCATGTGGGATCTTCCCGGACCGGGGCACGAACCCGTGTCCCCTGCATCGGCAGGCGGACTCTCAACCACGCACCACCAGGGAAGCCCTGGGGCCAACTCTTACAAGTCAACCTCTACTGGTAGAATTTACGAGGAATGATTTTTTTCCTTCATCATGCTTCCTCTTTCACATCCTTGAAAAACATGTGAAGTACGCATCAGACACGGTGTTCTGCGATTTTTATGTACATTGATTAACTGAATTTTCACAAGCCTACTTGAGGAAATGAGCCCCAGAGAAGTGTGTGGGAGTTGCTGGGAGTTGCTGGTCGACCCTGCCCTCCTTGATAGACCAGTGTCCTTTGCCTCATTTAGTGCCACTCTAGAAACATCTGGAGACCATTAAACATAACAACAACACAACAACCGACCAATGCTGGGCCCTCCCCAGGCTCGTTGAATCAGACTCTGTGGGGTGAAGCCAGCGCCTCCTTTTGGTTCAAAAACTCTCCCAGGTGATGCTAGTGTGCTGCTTGGCTTGAGGACCACTTGTGTGAGACCAGGTTGCTTATCCAAAATGAGAGGTAGAAACAAGAAGAAGAAAAAGAAAAAGGAATAAGACTAACATTGATTGAGCCCCTACTACAGGCCAAGTGCTTAATCTTATCTAATTCTCCCAGGCAACTGGAAAAGTGTTCCCACTTTACAGATTGAGAAACTTCTGAGTTACTTAACCAGAGAGGTGAAGTGATTTCCCCCAAAGCCCAGAGCTCATAAGTGGCAGAAAGGAGATTTAAGCCTGGCCTTGTGTTCATGTTACTACACCACAGAGCTAAGGCACACACCTCTGGCCCACACTGAAAACTCAAAAGAAATTAAGCTAGGCTTGTAAGAACTCAAGCTTGCAACACATTAGAATTTCAGTAGAATGAAACAGCAAATTATGGGTTTCCAAGGAGAACAATAAGCAGAAACCTTATTGAAACCTGAGAGGAGAAATACATGGTACATAAAACAAGAGAAAGAGGCAGAAGGAAAAAAGGCAAAGGATGAGGAAATACTTATACTTCACTCACTGCTCTAATTCTCACCACAACCCTGTGCAGTAGGAGCTATAATTATCTCGCTCCGGGCTTCCCTGGTGGCGCAGTGGTTGAGAGTCCGCCTGCCGATGCAGGGTCGTGGGTTCGTGCCCCGGTCCGGGAAGATCCCACATGCCGCAGAACGGCTGGGCCCGTGAGCCATGGCCGCTGAGCCTGCGCGTCCAGAGCCTGTGCTCCGCAACGGGAGAGGCCACAACGGTGAGAGGCCCGCGTACCACAAAAAAAAAAAACCAAGTCCAGGTCCCAACTACACATAGTTTGCATTGCCCATCACTTTTCAAAGGAAGAGAAAGAAGGAGAAGGAAATAGGATTTACTTAATGCTCTGAGGCCAGCACGTTACATTCGTTATCTCACTGCATCCATAAATTCAACAAATCACTTAGTCCTTGTGAGGCGACTATGACCTCCAACTTGAGTTATGGAAACAGGCTGGCCATGGCGAAAGTATCTTGCTTAAGGTCACAGTGAACTTGAAGCAGTAGTTTCAAACCCTAGGTTCAGTGTTCAAACCCTAATTCAGCTAATTCCAAACCCATGTTCCACAAGAACAACACTAAAGCCAGCAATTGTATTAAAATACTAAAGGCCAAAACCCCCAGCACATAAAAACAAAACATGGGAGAGCATTGAAATGGATCTCACTATATCAATTGGAAATTGGGATATGACTGAATGAGGAAATATTTTAACTTTGTTTAGCCAGGGAAAACTGTCAGTAGGCAGCAAAAAGTGGTTTGGAAATAAACATTCTGAACAAATGCCAGGTATTCTTATCTTTACTGGTTATTTAAATTTAGGCACAATCACCTGAAGAGAGAGTAAATAACCAGTATAGGCAAGTGCTTCCCTTAGTGCCCACCTGGGACTATAAAACACCAGCAGAGGGCTTTCCTGGTGGCGCAGTGGTTAAGAATCCGCCTGCCAATGCAGGGGACATGGGTTCAAGCCCGAGTCCGGGAAGATCCCACATGCTGCGGAGCAAATAAGCCCCTGAGCCACAACTACTGAACCTGCGCTCTAAAGCCCACGAGCCACAGCTACTGAAGCCCGCGCCTAGAGCCCATGCTCCCCAACAAGAGAAGCCACCACAATGAGAAGCCCTGGCTCAGCAACGAATAGTAGCCCCCGCTCGCCGCAACTAGAGAAAGCCCGCGCGCAGCAACGAAGACCCAATACAGCCAAAAATAAATAAATAAATAAATTTATTTTAAAAAAATACTGCCAGCAGAGTAGTTCACATTTGATTGCATCTGACCTTGAAAACTCAGCTTAAATCATGTTCTTTGATCACAGCTTTCATTCTACAACTCTTAACAGCATAATGTCCATCTTTAATTGAACATATTTTTGAAGTTAGACAAGTAATATGTGCTTTTTATTTAAAAATAAATAAATTTAAGAAAATTAGCATAGAAGTGAGAAGGGTAAGCCCTAGTGACCATTATCACGATCAGGTGAGTGGTCTTCCAGGGCTTTTTCTATATACATACAGACATGAAAAGGTCAGTATTGTCAAAACCATCTTTTGCCCAACTATGATTAAATTCTTTGTTGGATAAACAGTCTTGCTGTATTCCATTCCTATAGGAGCTGGAAGAAGAGAGCTTTTAAAACCAAGAGAATTACATTTCAGGCCCAAGGAAAATATAAAGCAAAAACATCCTTTTACATGAGAGTTGAAATACTCTTTTCTCAATTTGGAGTCGGAAATAGAAGCATTTGATAAGCAGCATAAGCTTACATCCCTGTAGCCTCTTTTAGCACCCTTACATAGAGTAAGCATTTAATTAGTATTTCTTGAATGAATAAGAAATTGTCTCCTTTTATAGTGGTTTTATTTTGGGTTAAATAGTGTCAGTATCAAAAAAAAAATAGAAACACATGTATCCACATGTAATGTTGTAAAGAGTGCTCCAAAGAAAATTACAAATCTTATTATCATCCATTTTGGATTATTCAAGCCAGGATTCACTTCCACCTTTACTGTAAGTGACATATAAAATTGGTCCCGTTAACTTTTTAACCACTTCTGAGTTTTTAAGACTTTGCCCCCTCATTTGTCACAGGAGTTTTCTTGGAGGGGGGTGGGGCAAGCACGTTTTGTTCTCTCAAATGAATTGTAAGCTCTGTAGGAGTGGGGAAGCTTCTTGTGATTACTTTTGTATTCTCCCAGCACCCGGCACATGTTCTGCACACAGCAGACATTAAATATTGTGACTGGATTATTTTAGTTTGCTAGGGATGCCGTAACAAAGTACTACAAACTGGGTGGCTTAAGCCACGGAAATGTATCGTCCCTTGCTTCTGGAGGCTAGATCTGAACTTGAGGTGTTGGCAGGATTGGTTCTTTCTGAGGGCTCTAAGGGAAGGATTTGTTCAGGCCTCTCTCCTTGGCTGGTACATGCTGTCTTCTCCTTCTGTCTCTTCTTTGTCTTCCCCTATACATGGCCGTCTCTATGTCCAAAATTTCCTTTTTTATTCGGACCCTGGTCATATTAAATTAAGGCCCACCCTAATGACCTCATCTTTACTAATTATATCTGCAACGACCCTGTGTCCAAATAAGGTCAAATTCTGAGGTAGTTGGGCCTAGGACTTTGACATATGAATTCGGGAGAAGGACACAACTCAACCCAGAATAGTGACCTTCCATTTAAACTTAAACTCATTTAGTTTGCCTACCTGATAACTGAATTCCCTGTTACCCCAAGCCAAGAAGAGCATTTAGAATTTTAATAATATTTTTGGCAACAGGATTTTAGGGTTGTTTTTGTCTTTTAACATGTCTGTGTATGCTTTCCAGAATGGTTCCCACTGCCTAAGCCTCAGAGCCTTCAGAATGTCTGCAACCGGTGAGTACCACCTTGGAAAGCTTATCTTTCAGCAGGGTTGAAGGGACATTTCCCTGGGCCTCAACCTGATGAACACCCAGCCCCTGAGCACCTTGATCTGGGGGCCCTCAGCCCCAGGAAGACGCCTCTTGGACAGGCAGCCACCTGTGAGTCTGTTAGTTTTTCTCTGTGAACCATTTTACTTCCCGTGAGTTTGGTCATTAAAATTGTTTTGCGCCCCTCAACCCTGCCCGAGGCCCTGAGAACGAGGGAGCGTTGGCCTGTAAGAAGACCTAGTGGGTTTATTATTCTCCGACACAGAAACCAAATGACGTCACTGAGCAGCTGTTGGGGGGCAACGTGATTCATGGAGGCCACGCTTTCCCAGGCCCTCTCTACGCAGCCTCGGCTCGGCCAGGGCAGACTTTTATTACCAGCTTTCAACAAGTCCCCGGTTTCTTTTGCAAAGTAAAACAGATAATAGAGACATTCCCGGAATAGTTAGCTAACTAAGCCGTGCCAGGCAACCTCAGAGCTAAGAAGAACTCAGTGTTTTCGGACAATGACCAATTACAATAACCAGTATTATTTGATCTGAGAGTAATTAGCCGAGGCTCTGTTCTTTTTGCTTCAGTGAGGAGACAAACAAGGCAGTGAGAAAAACATCAGAGACAGGGGAAAGGGGCTCAAATGTCAAAGAAAAACACCCTCCTGCAGGTGGGGAGAAGAGAAAGAGACCCTCAGTGAACGTTTGAACGTTGTTCTTCCCTGAAAATGTGGTAGGGTTTAACCCAACCAAAGTTTGTTTGATTTTTTTTCCCATACTTACTGTTCATGTGCTTTAAAAAGCCTCCACGGAGAGTGGATATCAGAGCACAAAGAGTGAAATAGGTCAGAAGACAGAACTATGAACTAGCAAAGGATCTTTTTTTGGGAGGGACGATTCTCCCCAGGGCGTCCGCGCACTGCACTCTTATTTTCAAACGCGCTGCATCACCTGAAACTCCCCGTTGTTTTGGAGACAGGTTCCAGGGAACTGCTGTTTATCATTTCATGCAAGACGTGCAAACTTCCTCTTGCCCGCATAGTCAGGCTCCCTAACCCCTAACTAGAGGGATTTGGATTTTCATGCTGCCCTGTGGCTTTCTTCCATTTCACCACTGGCTTCCAAAATAAACGGTAACTCCAAACCTGCAGGCCACCTCACTACCCTGCACTGCTGCTGTTGTCACTGTCGCACGGCAGGAGAAAGCACCTGTAGCCGCCCAGCCAGCCCTTCCTTCTAGGCTGAGCAGGACGTGGACTCGCTGAACATCCCGCTGGCTTTTCTGACCATAGGCAACACCTCGGCCCACTGCCTCGTTCCCAGCAATACCTCTGCCTTAGCTCAGACTCCTGGCTTCTCTTTGCTCAGATTCTCAAAGCAAGGAGTAATGTCTAGAGATGTGCCGTCTCATACCGTAGCCACTAACCACATGTGACTATTTCAATTTACATTATTTAAAATTAAATTTGAAATTCAGTTACTCCAAGGATTTACTGTATAGCACAGGGAATTATATCCAATATCTTGTAATAACCTAGAATGGAATATAATCTGCAAAACAAAACCCCCAAAACTGAATCACTACGCTGTACACCTGAAACAAACACAATATTGTAAATCAACTATACTTCAATTAAAAAAAATTTAGCTGCTCAGTTGCAGTAGCCACACTTGAAGGGCTCAATAGCCACATGTGAGTAGTGGCTACCATATGGGACGGGGCAGAAATAGGATTTTTCCATCAGCACGGAAAGTTCTATTAGACAGCACTGGCCTAAGTCATCACGTGAGAAAACTCTTGGCTCTGAGAAGGGCTTTGTCATTGAAAGGGGACTAAGGTTAGGTGGGATGCTTGCTGTGTGCCTAGTAGGGGGCTGCACATGTTATTTCACTTATGCCTCACAAATCTCATTCCCATTTCAAAGAGAAGGAGACTGAACCTCAAGGAAGTTCAGTAACTTGGCCAAAGTCATCAAGCTAAGTAAGCGGTAGGGCTGGGCTTCATCTGGTACCCAGGTCTCTGTGGCTTTGTCAGTTGAGTCAAGTTGCAAGTGTGATGAGTAAAGAGCAGCCTTGTTGTCACTGGCTTTTTTACAATATTTCTGCCAAGGAGCAGAGGAACTGTGAGCGGACTGGAAATGCACCTCGAGGCCTTGTCTGGGGTTTGATGGGATTGCGATTAACAGGGGCCTAGTAAGTGCACACTCACTCGTTAGACTGATTAGGAAATTATAGGACAGCTTCTCTGATGCTGTTTCCTTCTAGTGTTGGAGATATTTCTTTATTTTTTGGTACGCGGGCCTCTCACTGTTGTGGCCTCTCCCGTTGCGGAGCACAGGCTCCGGATGCACAGGCTCAGCGGCCATGGCTCACGGGCCTAGCCGCTCCACGGCATGTGGGATCTTCCCGGACCGGGGCACGAACCCGCGTCCCCTGCATCGGCAGGCAGACTCTCAACCACTGCGCCACCAGGGAAGCCCTATTGGAGATATTTCTTATTGGGGATATCTGCTTTACCACATCCTAAACTGACAGCACTAAAAAAGTACCCACTCTCCTGAAACAACAACAACAAAAAGGTCACCATCGAAAAAAACCAATATTTGATATTTGAATAAAGTCTGCAGTTTAGTTAATAACATTGCCTATTAATTACTTAGTTTTGATAATTTTACTATGACTATCTGAAATGTTAACATTAGGGGAAGCTAGTGAAACATACAACTATTACTCCTGAAACTCTTCTGTAAACTTAAAATCACTTCAAAATAAAAACAAATTGAAAAATTGGAAAAAAGAAAGTGACCGCTCTATCCCTGCCCTTTTTCTCTTTCTATGGATCTAGGGGAAAACAACAAAGAACCCAGCTGAACTCACCGTGACCAGCCTTGTGCTGCAAACAGATAAAGCCCTTCCCCCATCAACCTGCTGGCAGCAATGGCAGTGGGAGAGTTTTATACTCAGAGCCAGGCTGTGCAGAGAAATCAAGGCTGTTGCCTAGGCCCCTGAGAGCCACCAGATTCCAGATATGTTGAGTAACTTTTTATTGTTCATGTTTCTATTCTGGACTTCTAAAATTAAATGTGGATGTCCTCACACCCAGCACATCTTTCAGGATTGATTTACAATTGTAATCCTTTTACCACTATCATGAGCAGTGGGGCCCGTGGCAATTCAGGTTGGCTGGAATGAATTTGTTTTCTTTGCACACACAGACGGGAGCTCTCCCGGAATGCTGGTGGAAATGGAAATTGGGACAACTAGCTGATAATCAAAAAATTTAGAGGGCTTCCCTGGTGGCGCAGTGGTTGAGAGTCCGCCTGCCGATGCAGGGGACACGGGTTCGTACCCCGGTCAGGGAAGACCCCACATGCCGCAGAGCAGCTGCGCCCGTGAGCCATGGCCGCTGAGCCTGCGCGTCCGGAGCCTGTGCTCCGCAACGGGAGAGGCCACAACGGTGAGAGGCCCGCGTACAAAAAAAAAAAAAAAAAAAAAAAAAAATTAACATGTTGTATAGTATCCTTCAACCTGGGAATTTCAATTTCCAGAATTTATACTAAGGAAATTATTGCACAAGTACGCAATGATTTATCTTTGAGGATATTTGTCACAGCATGATTTTAATAGTAGCCCCTTACACCCCAACAAGAAAGGAAACAACTTCAATAAGCGTTTGGCTATGTGGACTATGGTATAGCTACATAGTGAAATGCTCTGCAGTCATTAAAACTATGTCCCAGAAGGCTATTCAAAGTCCTGGGAAGATGATCAAGACAGTCAAGTGCAAAAAGTAGGTTGAACAGCATGTAGAGTATGATCCCATTTTTTTGTAAAACAAAAAATATATCTGTATAAAAATAAAGGACTAAAGAATAAATAAACACTAAAGCAATGGTGATTATCTTTGAGTGAAAAGGGTCATCTCAGAGTGATGAGATAGCTTCAGTTTTCTTTCTCTGCATTTTCTAAGTGTTCTACAACAAACGTATTATTCTGGCAATGGAACGCTTCTCACTTCTGGAAATGTTACTAGTAGGAGAGGTTCACCAGAGGATTCTTTGTCTTTATTAACAGACTCCCATTAATTGGGTGGTAGGTTCTCTTAACTTTGCAAGGTACTCCTGGCATGTTCCATAGCTAATATCACAAGCCTAACAAATAATATCTATTAACATTTAACCTATATGGAAGTGTGCTAGTAGGCAAATTAATTTTGCGATGTTCGCTTTTCATGTCAACTTTCATTTCCAAAGCAGGGGTTGTAACCAGTGAAGAATTGTTCGGGTAGGAGTTAGAGGAGGTGGAAAATTGTAGAAATGTGCCAATAAAGGCAATGGATAGTGAACAAGACTATAGATGGCAGAAAGAAGCAGAATTATACAAACATAGAGGTAAATTAACATTTGTGCCCAAAGAAGCAACATCTGTATCCCTAGGGCTCTTTTCTCAGCTCCCAAATAAGAGATCATAGCAAGGTGGAGACTCTTAGGATGCTTGTCCAGATCAGGTGGTCCTACTATAAGCCTTTACTATGCTACTAGTAAAGGCTGGTAGTCAGGAGGGCACGTATTTGGTTTATACGGGGAAGACCAATGTGAAATTGTCTCACCCGAGGAAAAGCCTTCATGCGTGAACTCCGCCTCTGCCAGCTGAGGAGCAGAAGTAGGTGGTGGCGGTCACAGTTTGGAGGCCGTGAGATTGAAATAAGTCCCAACGCCACTAAAAACCTTGACACAACCTCGTGGGGGGGGCGGGGGCGGGGGGGGGGGGGGGGGGTCGGGGGAAGGTTGGTTAGTTGAAGAGGAAAGTCCTCAAGAAGAAGTCTCCATATTACTGACCGGTTCCCACTCTCCTTTCTTTCATTTGTCTGCCGGAAGTGGCCTGCTCTGCTTCTATGTGTCCCCACAAGCCCCATAAGCTCCATCAGCCTTTCCTGGCTTCGGCAGCCACCCCACCTAGATACAGTCTAAATGAAACCAGTATGTATGCCCGAGCTAACACAGGTTGGAACAAGTCCCCTAGCCTTCCTTGCCCAATGAGATCGCAGCTCCTAAGCCCCTTCTCCAGAGCAGTTCTGTAACAATTCAGTTGTTATGAGCAAGCTGGGTGGGAGTGTGCCGAGGAAACACATCTCTGACTGGGGTGCAGTGTGGAGGTGGATGCATCGCTGCCCTCCCCCCCCCCAACCCCCCGTCAACCCCCCCCCCCCCCGGAGTTCAGAGAGGTTTCAGGCCCTAATTTCGGCACGCATCCCACTCCACCACCCTGTAATGAAAACGGATCTTCCCTGAGTCTCCTTCCAGACGGGTCCTGGGTCCTGCTGATTTGAACCAGCTTCTGCACTCTGGACTCCTATTTCATTGGCCCTGAAAATCTGCACCTGGGCAGGGCACCCTAGGTGGAGAAAAGACCTGCCAGCACTTCAGGCCACAAACTACTAAGCAGGCCTCCACCCCTGGTTCCCTTCTCTTCCAGCTGGCCTGGAAATTTGCAAGGACGGGGATATGCAGATTTCTTCTCTATTTTAAGTCTGTGAAGCATTTACTCTTGAGTTTGAGGGTAGAGTTAGTTATCTGTTTGCAGAAACAGTTTTATGTCATGGGAGTCAGGTACCTGAAAGTTTTTTATGCAAATCTTATGCAAAAATTAGGCAAATTCCAACTCTGGGCCAGGGCTTCCTGCATCACTGCATCATGGCACCTGGGGAGGGAAAGGGTATCTGTTTCTCGCTTCAGGTTGGTATGTACATTCAACCTTAAGGAAGCTCACCTGTTTTTGCTTAATTGGGGAGTTGCATGGCCATGCAACTGAATTCTGAACGTCAGGCATCAGTTCGGCAGTTAACTGTCTCTCGGGATCAGCACAGTTTTCTGTCTTGTGCTTTCCACTTGTAAACCTGTCTGTGGGCTCTAGAGATGGGTGTACTTAAATGATTGGCACTAGATTAGCAAAGACTTTCAGCCACTGTAAGTAAATAGGAAGCATGGAAGACCCACAGGGCCTGCAGGGTCAGACCCTTGCCACCCTCCCCAGCTTCGTATCAGGCCCCTCTCCTCTTTGTCCCAGGCCAGCAAACTGGCCTTTCTTCCTTTCTTTAAAATAACTCTTCTCCCTCCCACCCTGGGGGTCTGCAACGCCTGCCCCTCCCCTGCCCCAGGTCTTCAGCTCTCAGCTCAAATGCTGCTTCCTCAGGAAAGTTCTCCCTGACCACCTCCCAAGTCTGGACCTTTTTCTTCCCAATTGTGCTTATGCATTAGTATGACCATTTGATTAGTGTCTGACTCCTCTGCGAGATTAAGCTGCCAGAAGACAGCTTCCCTGCATCTCCCAGATCCAACCGCCTACATAGTAGTTGCTCAGCTAATGGATTTGCTCAACTCCAAATTTATAATTCAACATAAGGTCAACTTGAGGATTTGTCCTTACTGTAATTTGGGTACTTAATTATCTTTCTTGCCTATGCTCTATCTCAGGGGAAACCAATAGAGCTTCTTAGAGACAAACCCTGGGAGCTGAGCTTCAGAAACACTGTAAATAAGGGTTTTTTCCACCCAAGTTTCACCCTCCAGAGTCTCCTCTTTCCCTCTTCCCCTCCTAGGATTCTGTGCTTGCCGCCCTTGGAACGTATTTCCATCTGGGCTTTTCTGCTTGCTAGAGGCCGCTGTGTCCCTCAAAGAAGAATCCTTAATTATATATTTCTGTTTCTATTATTACAATTCCAGGTCCTTTATGTACACCTGGTACCGAGAGCCACGGTGGAGGGGGCGGGGGTGGGGGCTGAATGGTGGCAATGCTGAAAATTTCCCTTAATCTTAGTAACAGGACAGGTAAGAGTTTCAACTTGCCATCAACTTTACTAGTCTCAGAAAAATTCTATTTGAAACTCTTCTAGCCATCTCCTTTTCTTTGCTTTTCTTCCTTCCCCCTTGATTTTTCAGAAGTGAGCCCTCTGGAGAAACTCTTTTTCTCTCTCACTTTTCCAGGTAAGACAGGGCTCCGGAAGCTGAAGACCTGGCCTCCCAAATGCTGAAAGGCTTTCCAAGAGACCGTGTCTCCGCCCAGGAAGCACTGGTTCACAATTATTTCAGGCCCCTGCCTGCTCAGCTGCACCAACTTCCTGATGGTAAGCAAGGGAGTGTGTGTGTGTGTGTGTGTGTGTGTGTTTAGTGTATTCATGTACACATATAAGTCTCGGTGTCTAAGTATTTTCTCAGTGCACTGGAGAATTATAGAATTTGCAACCAGAAGTGAGCTTAGAGCTGGGAGAAGCGAGATGGGTTCAAATCTTGCCTGAGGTTTTTTTTTGCGATTTTCTAAAACTCAAAGGTTGAGGGTTGAGGTGACACAGATCTCCTTGTAATGATCCAAACATTTCCCATATACTCACTTACTCTTAGAAATTGGATGAGATGCAAGTTGCCTCTGAGTTTGCTTTCACTAGCATTTGCCAGGAGAAGCAAAACCAAAGTTTCTAACAACTCCCTTTTCTCTTTCAGTAGAGTAAGATGATAGGTGACATGGATATATCAGGAGAGGAGAGCTGGGCCTGTCTTGATTGGTAATCTGATGCAGCCCAAGGAAGTACGGGGTGGGGCATGGGGAGAGGGGAGCGTCCTCCCAGGCTGGACGCTCACGGGAAGCACAAGTTAACCTGAAATCAGCTTTGCTGCCTGGGCCTGAAGTCATCCTCCAAACCTGAAAACTTCTGAGAGATCATGTGGCTGGAGCGCTCCTCATGTTTCTCAGAACGTGGCCAGGAAAGGCTGTGCAGAAGTTGTGGGCAGTGCAGTCATGGCCCCGGCTGTTTGCGGGGCACTATCCTTAGGTGGAGTTTCTTTGAAAACATCCAGCATTCAACTGAAAACAGTTTTTAGAAGTCCTAAGCCAGAGAGAAGAAAGCTAATAAGGAAGGTCTAGGGGCTCAGACTGGGGGGAGGGTCCTGGGCTGGGGGTGTGATGGGGCGAGGATGGGCATGGGGTGGGGAGCTACTGTTCAGTAGGCTTAGGCATGTGGTCTGGCCAAAGTCTCCAGGGTTTGCAAACGCAGCTCCACTGTAACTGGGACATTGTCCTGCATCAGCCCAAAGCTCTTAGTTTGGGATTTCTTGAGGTATTTTATTATTAAAGTGAGTCATTTAGGATCTCCAAAAATAACCATAATCATACAACTGGGGTTAATGTCTTGCTTAACCCTGTAAGAAGAGTCGGTCATCAGTATTTATTAAGTTGCCATCAAGTGTCAAGAACATATTAAGTACTATAAAATTTGAGGGAAAAAAGAGGCTTGTCCTTGACCTCAAGGATCCTATGAAGTGGGAGGAAAAGAGGGTGAGGAAGAGGAAACAGGACACCCTCATACACATATTAGCACAAATCATATCTAAACAGCTAAAGTCTGCACATAATCAGCTACAGATGTTCAGAGAATATGTGTGCGCTAAAGGCAATTCTTTGGAGGAACTAGAATAACTCAAGTAAGATGGATGAGACTGGAGGTGACTCTGGAGTAGAATTTGGAAGGAGGGGAGGGACGTGGCTTGGCATATGGGTAGAATAAAGGACATTCCACCAGACCTACAATTCTTACGCCCTTCCTGGTACCTCACCCCAAGCTTTAGCCCCATCCGCTCTCCCACTCCCATCTCAATCCCCTCTTCCCAGTCTGAACCCCTAGATCCCCCCTTCTTAGCTTTCTCCTCTTGGGCTTGGGGCTTCCAGCTACCACTTCACGCAAGTATACACACTGGGGGTGTACACACACACACACACATTCACGCTCCCTCTCTCCATTTAAAGAAACTTCTCCCATGGGCCCTCCTCCAGGATTTATTATTCTGTGTACTGAGAACCACTGGGGATCTTCAAAGTTTTCTGGGCACCAGCTTTTCCTTGATGAAGAGTAATTAGGAGAAAATCACTGTGCAGACTGATGTGTTGTTAGAAACCTGGGTTTTGATTCATCCTGGTCATCTGAAGCAAAGCCACCAACACAGGGACTCTGTGTGTGTGTGTGTGTGTGTGTGTGCGTGCGTGTGTGTGCGTGCACATGCAGGTGTAGGAGAGGGACCAATCTGTATTCCTTCTCTGTTCACCCAGCCACAGAGCCCAAATCTACTTTGACACTTTTAGAAAAATGAAAAGATGGAATCTTGCAGGAGCCTGCCTGTGCTGTCGGGGAGACAAGGAGTGCTCACAGCAGGAGGGAAGTTGACTTTTCTTTATACATATAGGGGTTTTTCCATGCAGAGTTTAAATTATGCCTGATAAAAGGAGTTTCGTGGATGTTTCAGTTCTTTCAAATTCTCCTGGCTTCCTCCCAATTAAATGAGGTTTGTCAAAGCCACAGGGCTCTGCTGCTGTTGCCTCGGCCGACAAGCACTTCCTGCAGCGACATCTCGAATCCCCGAGGGAGAAGATGAAAGGGCCAGCGCCAACAGACAGGGGAAGGGGGGCAGATCGGGGTGTGTGTGTGTGTGTGTGTGTGTGTGCGTGGGGGGGGGGGGTGCAGAAATAGGTTTAGAGACAGATCGACAGATAGGATGTGGACAAGAAGACAGGGAAAGCAAAGGTACCAGGATTATTGGAAAGAAAAATAGAGTCAGAGAGAGCAGCCACTGGGGCCAGTTTGTGTACCTTGAGAACATTGGCCCTCACCAAGGGCACGTCTTCTAAGGGTGCACTCCCTTGGCCGGGCAGTGCCAGCCTACTTTTTCATTGTCCATGGCAATGAGCCTTTATTAAGAGCCTCCTTTGCAGACAGGAAGAACCGGCCGGTTATCGCAGTTCCCAACCCTCAGGGACACAGAGTCTCCATCCAAGGGGTGGGCTGCCCCAGGCATAAGAACTGTGCAAAAATAAGACATGCTCTTGTGAGTGGTGTGTAAAGAGGGTTTCCCTGCCATAATTATGCAAGAAATTTTGCTCTCTGGTGGCAGTATGGAATCACTTACGGGGTTATATTTGTATTATTTTATTATTCTGGTTTTATTCCGGTTGCAGGATAACAAAGTTGTCACTTTAAAATATATTCTGTTTCCCCTTTGATCTGGGAGATTCCAGCTCTTATTGTCTGCCCTCTGACGAAGACAATTTAAGCATGAAACCTGAGGCTGGGAACCGTGTGAAGAGTGGAAAGACAGCCTAAATCCCAGCGGAAGCAGGGCACAGAAATTCCCCACAAAATGCAAGGGTTGCTCTCATCCATCCATGTCTGTTTTCACGAAGCCGAGAGGTCCCAAACAACACTGTCCCTAATTTGTGGCAGTAAGCTTATGGCCAGAGGAAATCGGGGGGTCCCTTGCCACGAAAATCCAGGAATTCTGGGCTTAGTTCCCTTTCGGAGCACATTCTTAAGTGGAGAGGCATGAATACTAGAATGGCAAGCATGTGGGAATTTCTGCCAAGCGCTGACATTTTCCCTTATTGACTTTTGAACACCTGAAGAAACACTAGTTGAAGGAGAAATAATTGGTAGTCTCTCTCAAAACACACCCAACAGCAAGCTAATTGCTTTTGCAGATGGCCTGGGAGACACTCTACCCACTCAAGTCATCTGCTTACGGCCACACTTGTGGTCCTCACGGATGAGCCAGCAGTGCAGGACATCAGCTGGGGCAGCTAGGACCTAAAATTAGGCCCTTGGCAACTCTCTAATCTTAGCTGCAGGTTCAGCTTCTTCCTTTAATTCCCTTTGCCCTCAGCATGAACTTGGGCTCTGGGAAAGGAACGGCTGCTTAACGACTTGAGAGTGAGGGGAGTAGAAAATCATTAAGCTGCCCCTTCTAGAAACTGGCTCCACTCCGTTCTTGCAAGGAGCCTTCCAAATGTTACCCTTGGAAAGTTAAGACTGATTTTGGAACCTAGCCATTTTGAACCACAGACACTGATCCACAAAAGTATTTTTTATCTCGGGCAGTAAATGCCACGTGATTTAAGAGTCTGGTCCTTAAGCCATGGTCCTTGATCGTCAGGACATCAAAGGCTGTCTCTCTCTGTGAGTTGGTCCCATTTTGCTTTCTAAATCCCAGACGTGAGTCTCTCCCATTCCTTCCTGGTCTAAATCCCCCTTCTCCTTTAAAACAGGTTTCAGCATCTTAAAACAAAAAAACAAAACAAAACAAAAAACCCCTACAACTTAAAAGCTTGCAATTGATTTTGTAATTTTGTAAAAATAATTTACCAGAGTCCTTCTTGTCATCATATACTTTGGTACCTACAGGGATGGAAGAAGGCATGGCACTTACCTCTACCCTTCATCACATCACCCTAGTATCTATACTCTGGTAGTTCTTCAGCAGGCCTGATTCATATTGCTCCATTAAAACCTGAGTAATTTTTTTTTTTTCCCTTCCGGTACGCGGGCCTCTCACTGCCGGGGCCCCTCCCGTTGCGGAGCACAGGCTCCGGACGCGCAGGCTCAGCGGCCATGGCTCACGGGCCCAGCCGCTCTGCGGCATGCGGGACCCTCCCAGACCGGGGCACGAACCCGCGTGCCCCGCATCGGCAGGCTGACTCTCAACCACTGCGCCACCAGGGAAGCCCGAAATCTGAGTAATTTTTTGTTTTGCTCCAATAAAAGAAGTTCAGGACTTCTTTTAATAATATCTCTTTAATATATTTGAAGATCCCTTGATATCACTTTCTAAAGCTCACTTCTCTAGGCTGACTTCCTTTGACCTCCACCAAACATACCCAATATAGATTGTTTATTTTACCTTTTAACTATTTTGCTTCATTATTCTATTCTGAACCGATTCCAATTATTTTGCTTATCTCTGAGACTATGGACCCACACTAGACTCAGGTTTCTAACATACTGGGAGAGTTATTTTCCAGTTCATTCATGGACGATTTACTGAGGGTCTATTAGATATGAGATTGAGGGATACAAAAATGAATTAGTTATGGACTCTGTCCTCCAAGAGCTTACAGTCCTTAAGGAAATGAAACAAGTATATAAACGGCCGTAGACCAAGTGTGAAGTGCTCTGACAGTTCAAAGGAGGTGAGATTAAACTCCAGCTGTAGGGGTCCAGGATGGCTTTGTGAGTGGGTCTTGAAAGGTGACAGGGTCTGGATGGTTGGGGAGGAAGGATATCCAGGGAGAGGAATGTCATCCTCCTCT